TTTTCTGAATATCTGAAGTTGGTGTTTGTCATCTTAGCAACCAATGGTGCTGCAATTTTTATTAACATCTATTTCTCCCTCACAACAGTAATCCTTGAAACCCCCCATATCAATTCTTTTATGAGTTACTATATACATGTAGGCAAAGATTGATCTGTTGTGGAGATACATGCCCACCTGTTCTTTTATTATCAGGTATGTTTTTATACCCAACAATTTATCACTCTGGTAGATATGTAACCTAATGGGAGTTATCATGATTGCATCTAAAGAGAATATGAAAGTYTTATTATGTGTAACCTTTTTGGATCTGATAGTAAAAGCATAAGATCCTGCTTCGAATAATCCCCCAAACTGCAAAATGCAATTTGCCATGAGTTTATCAATAATCTTTAAGAAACTTTGCGTGGAACTACAAGCATTTCTTTTTACATATACTTTCACATGTTGTAACTCTATATTCAGCAGCAATCTAAAGTTTTAACAATTAACWAGTTCCTAACTGGTCTGTGATTTGAAAGAAAGATTTGACTTTGTCAGTGCTTTAGCTAGGATGGATATATTCAGATGCTTTCCGGGACTAATTTTATCTTTTACTGCATACCAAGTCATGTTATTTTTTCTTCAAGGAAATCCATGACTTTCAGCTTCACCAGCAGCRTTAGGAACATGAGCATTCTCATGAGTTTTAGACACATAGCAAGACTGTCCCAAAAAGTTTCTATTAAGCATACCGATTAGTTTGGAAATAACAACTACCTGCCTGAGGTCATTTGGGTGCTGAGCAGAGCTGCTGGTGCAGTCCAAGCCTGTTATTTCCAGTTTCTGCATTCTGCAGAAACTTCTGTAGATTCTGGAGAYAGCTCTCTAGGGAGAAGCAAACTGAAGTCTGCCCCTCTGTGTGTACCAGTTCTCAGTYATTGAAGCCTAATGTTTTATTAAAGAGTCCTTCCATCTACTTCAGAGTTACTGGAGTTCTACCACAGTGGGAACACTTAGGTGCTTTAGTTCCATTTCTCTGTGCTATCAGTACACACACCTCTCACCTCTGTTTCAGTGAAGGATTATAYAGCACTAAACACTGCCCAAAATCTGAGATGTGCTGCTGCAACTGAGACAGGCTATCCTCCTGCTACTTACTCAACATACCACAGAAGACAGAAGGACTGATAGCAGAGGCACCCAGGGTTGTAAGAAGACCTTCAGAACTTGTCAGCCTGATAAAATGCTCCTGTAACTTCCTTATTATTGCAAAGGGGCCAGTTGCAGCTGCCTAGTGGCTCCTTTATCTCTAAACTACCATTGAAGCCTCTCATAATTGGCCTGGCTCAAACTGCACACTGTGCTTGGACACAGAAGTGCCACGCTGCTACATTTAGAAATACACACATACAAAAGAACAATGATAGACAGGAGTGTCTGAGAATCAATATTTCATACATACTTCAGGGAGGCACCATATTCAAGCCAAACAAGGGTTTAAGTTTATACAGGTATCACCTTCAAGGAATGAGGAAACTCCTCATGGAATGAGTAACCAAACCTTCCCCATCTCAGCCATGTTTGAAGCTATTTTCTTCATGAAGAGTATTTGTCAGAGTCATCAAAAAAASACATGGAGGGAAGGCCATGAAATTTAACATAACTGAAGAGTCCTTTACCAACTGCATTGGGAGAGGCTGGGGGGAGAGACACTGGTAGCTGGCATTCTCAGCCTTCACCCTACTCAGATCTATCATTAATAATATCAAAACATGAACTGGCACAGACAACATGTCCCACATCACAGCACCCCTTTAATCAATCTGGTAACAGAAGCTCACTTGGACTGCAGCAGGTCATTTATCAAGAACAATGACTGTGAGGATGACAGCAGAGCTTCAATASCTCCACAGGGCTCTTATCAATGTCTGGATTAAATTTATGATGCTGTTCTTGATCTGTACAGCTCTAAATTGCATGGGATTTGTCTGTCTAACAGACCACATGTCTCCCCATGCCATGCTGCCACAGCTACTGTCAGCAGAATGACTCAGGCCAGACACATTTGGTATTAAAGAAGGAAAAAAAGTGAGTTGTCAGCAGGACTGACTCACCAGGGGACAGGCTGCCTTGCAATTTACTCCCACCTTTAGTTTGAAATAGCTAAAATCTACTGACCCTTAAAGTGGGCTAAAAGGTACACTGCTTTCTTGGGAAAACAATCACTCACAAGAGTGATATTTTTAGACATATCTGAAAACCATGTTTGTTAAATCCTGATTATTTTCCTTTTGTTAGAGTTATGAATTGGAAGTCTGAAGTCTTCACCTTTTAGGACAATGTYCTTTAATCCAACAGAATAGACACTTTTTATTAAAACATTACTTTAGAGAACATTATAGGAAAATAATAGCAAAGCAGAGGTACTCCTTTAGCTCATTACCTGCAGAGAGAATGCCTTCCATTTGGCTAAAAAATGCTGGTCTTTCTCCAGTTAAGTTTGGTAAAGGATACAGATACACATGTATACACATCTTAGTTTGATGAGACCTCTGAGCAGRACCAACATATGTCTGCTGTTAAACTTCATAGGCAGACAGCTATTACCCTTTAAAATTGCCTTTTGTGCTCCACTTACCCACCCCTAATTKCTTCTGTTAATTAGTGCTACGATACAAGCTTTAGTAGTAAATATTAAGATAAGGCTGTTTCACAGAAGGGGAAGAGCCTTTTCTGAAGCTGAGTATCACCTAATAGCACCTAAACCTGAGTTTAGCTCTATTCTACAGTTCCACAATAATGCATTCATATTTTATCTGTGTGGTGACAAGGCTCTGTRCCCAGATACTAATACAATTGCTTCACTTTTCTAACTTAGTACAAATTCTAAACAATGATCCTTTGGGGAACAGAAAATCTCCCGAGGAACCACAAGGGAATTTCTCAAAATGTGGCTTCCTAGTAATYGTAACAAGTTCTCTCTTCTTACCCAGAAACCAAAAATAGACACACAACATTTGTGAGTGGCTGAAGAGCTGATTAATTCAGTTATCATCTACAGGACTGAGTCCTCATACATTCATACCATGGTCATTAGCATTCCATAACTGGTTCTCTTCCCTCATTCAGTAGCAAATCAATTGTTTTCACATCTGCTTGTAGCTCCTATTTCCCCAAAGGATTTCAGTGATCATATTGTTTTTCCAGCTTCCAATGCACTGTCTGACCTTTTCCCTCAAGGTCCTTGCACAATTCACTTTAGTCAATCACTTTTTACTGATTGTTAGTGCCTGGTCATTCCCCTTCTATCTTTGCTTTAATGCATACAGAGTTTTTTTTTTTAGTGATTTTATTTTTATTATATCTGGTCATCCAGTCACTGTTCTTTCCTCTCTTGTTGCTTTAGATCTCTCATTTAGGTTTATACTTCTGTTCTGTTCAACTTTCATTCCAGTTAAAGCTAAAATTCCATCTTCTTTCTGCTTATCCTTTCTTTTGCATGATACTTGTATATATAAAGCAAACTTAAGCTTTTAGCATGGCACTCTCCACTTCCGTCCTCACAGAAARTGCCATTCTTTTGTGAATTCATAGAGTTCTAGCAAAAACTGTTTCTTGGTTTATGATTTCTCCTGATACTTCTGTTCTGTGTGTTTCACACAATCTAGCACTGCATACACTTGCTTCTCATTAGGAAGAAGCAGAGATAAGAGACAGTCTCTGGAAGCAGTTTTTTACAATTCATTCAAAGTCAAACCCTGTCTGCTTACCTGAAGATTCACCTAATTTCTGGAGGGCACAAATACTGACTTATTTGCAGCTGCCACCCTATCTTTCTTGGCTTTGTAAAGACTGACATACTGAACTTCAGGAATTTCAATCATTTCACTTCCTGGGCTGCTTTTCCCTCCTAAGCTCTGCAGTGATGTCAGATGCCTGTTCCCTCTGGCATCACCACAGAAGGAATGTTGACCATGCATTTCCTTACAATCATTTGGGAGTCAATCTTTACCTCACACACAGGATGCAATTACTGGGAATCCCTCATTTCCAGTTGGCTCTTTCACTCATCACAACAATGGAGAATCTCTTTGGTTCTCTTAGCAATAACTAGAAACCATTCAACAGTAAAGGCCACAGACAATCAGTGCTATCACGATGACTGCCAAAAAGCTGACTGAGAACGGCTGTCCAGGCAGCTTCTGCAAGGATTTAAATTAAATTTTTGCTTTTTATGCAAAACTTTCTTAGCTAGAAAATCCTWAAATCACTTTATTACAATAATAACCATTCAGCTGACAGTAAACTTGGACTTAAAGCTGCCGTTCAAGCAGACATGAAAAAACAGAAGTAGTCAGAGGAGCATCTCCTCAGTCCTTTCTTTTCTTGGGACTCTGTTCTCTCTAACTACTCTGTATTTTACTGTCTCATGTTTTTGGACATAACACTCATGAATGAGAGAAACAGAGGTGTCAGCTTATTCAGCACTTGGATGATGAGCCAGAAAGCCTTCTTTGTACCAACAAACCTCTCCAATGCACTGACCCATGGCACATTCAACCAAAAGAGACATCCTCAGAAACCCTGACAGTAGGTCTACAGGGATAAACCAGTGCAGCTTTACAGCAGCTTTTTGCGTGAGATCACACCAGAACATCCAAGATGCCAAAAGACTCACAAAGAKACCCCTACCAGAATATGGATGGGGRTCAAATAGGAAAGAGAGCCACTAACCTTAGTCCAGCAGCACAGAACTGCAACGCCAGGAATTCTGGAATAATAAAACCAACCCTGTTCTATCTCCTCCCCTTTTCACACTCTTCACGAGAATGTGTGAATATGGATGTGTGGGTGTGTGGGCGGATGCTTGAGTAGAAAGCATGTTCCTCTAAACAACTGTATGCTATTGGTAGGGTTAATTTATTGCCTTCCATGTCTAACAGGATGTAAGATAACATATTTAATTTTCTGAAGAGTACTGGCTTTATTCTGCAAAATGCAAGGGGAATTCAACTCACCATCTGCAAAAACTGCTTCATAGACGTAAGATACAGAGTCTTCAGGATTTTCATCCCATGGTATATCTAGGAAAAAATGAAAAATAAGAAAGTAGGTAATATCATCATACTGATTTCCATGGGTTTTTAAATGAAAATCTATATGTATTTTAAATGTAAGATAAAGTTATTTTAAAGCTATTGTTTTTCAGACAGAAAAAAAAAAAATCATAGAACAAGTCCAAGGGCTAGTGCAGAAGAAAAAGCAACAAGCCTAGAGACCTCTTTAGATGGAACTGTATTTAYCGCTTTTTGGTAAATGTCACTTTGACTGATTTTTTTTTTCAATTTGCCAGAGTTGGTAAGAAACAAGTTTCCCTGAAAGTCAATATGGCAAACAACAGGAGAGGAGTTGAGCATAAGGAAAGAGAATAGAATCATATAAAGTAAAGTGAGAAAATGGAGTGGATACAGACAGTGCAGTTGGGAAGACAAGACAACTTTTCATTGCTGTGTTTGATAACWCAATAGATATGGTTACAGASAGTGTCATAGAATCATAGARTGGTTTGGGTTGGAAAGGACCCTAAAGAGCATCTACCTTCAGCCCCTTAGCCAAGGCCAGAGACAATTTCCACTTGGTTGTTCCAACCTTCCAACCTGCCCTTGAACACTKCCAGTAATGGGGCATCCACAGCTTCCCTGAAATCTATTTCAGTGCCTCACAATCCTTATTGTAATTATGTCAAACCTAAACCTACCTTCTTACAGTTCAAAGCCATTCCCCCTTGTCCTATCCCCAGRACCTGCTGGCCACACTGCTTTGGATGCTGCCCAGGAWGCGGTTGGCTTTCTGYGCTGTGWGTGCASAGATCTTCTTATCAACCAACACCTCTAAGTCCTTAAGGCTGCATTCAATCCCCTCYCYATCCAGCCTGTATTTGTGCTTGGGATTGCCCCAACATGTGCAGGACTTCACACTTGGCCTTTCTGGCCTTCATGAGGTTTCTGTGCGTTCACTTTTCGAGCATTTGGCTGTTCCAAATGGCATCCCTGCCCTTCAGCATGTTGACTGCACCACACGGAATAATGCCAACTGCAAATTTGCTAAGAGTGCCCAATGTCACTGTCCATGCCACCAATGAAGATGTTAAACAGCATCCAATACAGACTTGCTGAATAGATCAGGTTGGAATGGACCATTGTGGCTCATCTGGTCCAACCTCTCAGCTCAAGCAGAGTCATTCTAGAGCACCGAGCACAGGATTGTATCAAGACAGTTCTTGAATATCTCCAGTAACGGAGACTCCACACTCTGGGCAATCTGTTCCAATGTTCAGTCACCCATGCAGTAAAGATGTTCCTCCCCACATTCAGGTGCAACTTCAGTTTCTGCTTGTTGCCTGTTGTCCTATTGCTTGGTGTGACTGAGTCTGGCTTCACCCTCCCTTCAGATACTGATAGACATTGATGAGGTCCCTTCTCAGTTATCTCCTCTCGGGGCCCAACCCTCTCAGCCTGTGCCCCCATAAGATACCATATAAACATATTCAGTGCTAAGTTCTGGACTCACAGCCTTTTAAGTAAGTACACAGAGACCCTACCAAGAAGGGAGCAAAATCTGATTCTATTTTTCCAGTACAAACTTAAATAGGCGTTACACCTCATTTTTTTCAGGGAYAAGTGTTAAAATTTCTTTAGTCTGGGCTGCAAAACAACACTTATTTTATCCCATTTCCAAGAAGATGGCACTAATTTAACAGAAATACATCATGGYGAAATTACAGATCACAATTTTGTTATAACAACAGTTGTGTGCAAAAAATATACAAGGGCTACCTTTACAGAGATCTTCTCTAGGTACCTTTCAATGATAACATTTCAGTAATTGTGACTGGTAACCACAGTGCAAAACTCAGACTCAATAATACATTATATGAAGAACATATAAGACTACAGAGTCATATATTTTACGGTATTCCCTGCAAAAATACTTGCTGGAAATCTTAAATTATTTGTCAGCTTTAGAAATAGCCTCACAACTGCAATTAAACACTGGCTGATGACTGGGCCATAAACAATACATAAATTTGGATGACAWCCCTTTCAAACCTTGAAAGAGTAGACTAAAAATGATAAATCCATCAATTTATTTTAAAAATAAAAGAATTATAAACTAAATAAACAAAAGGAAAATCACAGTATGTTAAGTTAGTACATGCTATTGCTTATGTTCTAGTCATCTGAATTTTATMATTAACTAAACTTTTTATAAGTTTGTCCTAAATGCTGCTAAAAAAACATCAGTGCACTTACTTTTCCAGGTATAATAAGTTTTCACCCAATAAGTGTCAAAAATAAGAGGAAAAAAAAATTCACATACATGATGCATACTTCAGAATCTAACGGTACTAGTTACCATGACTAGGTACGTAGATTAAAACATGAGCTGCTAAGAAACTTAAAAAACCTCACAAATAAACCCTAGCAAGTAAAGTCTTCCCTGGATTTTGCAGAAATAAAGAGAAGCAATACCAAAGAAGTCAAACAGTTAAAGTGGCAGAGGATGACAGTCTCAACATCCTATCTATGGCTGCCACCTCCAGACAGTCACTTCGGTTTCTCTTCTGCTTTGAAATAGCCAGGATCTCATGTCARATGAAAGAAGTTAGTGACACAAACCAGTTTTTTGTTGCCAGTCATTACCAACCCCCATCACTGCACTGGCATCCCTTCCATGCAGAATGGAGAAACACAACAGCTCAGGAAGATGTATTACTCTGGTAATTTTAGCAGTCCCTGCAGAGCAGCTCAAAGACTCATTGGCAGGGCAACATGGAAATGAGAGCTATACTGCAGCACAYATCAGCTAACAAAATGTCCTTTCTGCTCCTATGCTTATAATACAGTCATACAGATTATTTTTGTTTTAATAGAAAAAAAATTAATTGGCATTTGAGGTGCTCTGCAGTAAGCAGACGACATCACTGCCTTAAAACACTGAAAGTGGCATGCACTGTCTGAAAGTAAATACATTGGGAAAGGAGTAAACAGAGGCTCAACAGTGTGGACTCATTAAGTGAAACCTCCCCTGGCAGTGAATGAGGCCAAAACCAACCACCTACTTTCCTCTATTCACCCAATACTGCACGGAAATATACGTCAGAAAGGCCAGTCTCCATGTCTTAGTTCTCCTGTTACCCTTCCAAGAATGTGTTCAAACAAGCATRACAAACCATTCAGATTTTGTGTTTGAACCACATTACTGACATGAAAGCTCTCTGCTGAGTATAAAACTCGGTGCATCTTCCATTGCATTTAGTTTTTGTCAGCATTTTAATTTGTTTTGGTTTTTGCCTTGAATGTTTGACATATAGACTACTTTATAGCCAGAAGGAAGTTTTAACAGATAAAGCCTTGTCTGCTCCAACAAGATGAAAYTGGTACCATCTGGTAGGTGAAATAATTATGGAGACATATGAAATTAGACTTATTTTACACTTCTATCATATCAGGTTGTAGGGAGAGTGCAAAGAGAACTGCACCAAGGAGGGAAGAGACAGCTAAGAACTTACAGAAAAAACAGGGCCAGAACAGTTCTCAGCTATGAACGTGGTGGAGGGCTTAATGCCCTGAAGCCCCAGGCATCATCACCACTTCCAGTCCTGGATCTAGTTCATCCACTGAACTTGTCTGATCCCAGGCACAGTCTGTGCATCCCTGCTAAAGACACACTCACGGAGACTGAGGTCTTCAACAACTATTCATCAATTCAGTTTTCTAATCTCTRAAGCTGCTGATGTTGATCACTGTCAAAGCAAAGATCATTTGAACACCTACTAGCCATCTGGCATTATTACACTGGAAGTTAAGTACCAACTGCACATAAGTATTTTTGTGAATGCAGAGATCTAAGCAAAGAAGCATCCTGTGTCTTCTAGAAAACTGTTTATCGTTGCAGAAAAGTTTGTAATTTCCTGTGCATGAGTCAACTGATGGTCTCTAAGCACAGTTACTTCCTATATATACACACAGAGTACAGACCCACTGTTTTCATCCCACTAAAAAACTGCCAAGAAGCTTCAGTCTGAAACTACATATTGGACACACTCAGAAATTGCAAACATTACCTTCTGAAACCAAAACAGAAAACTGTAATGAGCCCAAAACATAAARTCTGACAGATATACTGAGGAGAAGGTTATTCAGTACTGAAGAGAAAATGGTTGGAGAGGAGGAGTCTAAAAATGTTATTTTGAAAACACTGATCTGATATGGGCAGACTGTGTGTATACATATTCTGGGCAGGTTTTAAAGCTCTACAGGATACTTAAGCTTACCTGCTTAAGTGCAAGGCAACAGAGACATCCAGCAAAGTCACTCTGATTCAGCTGGGGTCTCTCTACCCCAGTGTTCAAAAKAATATTCTTGGCTGTTCATGTGCATCCAAAACTAGGTTAAGCTCTGAGTAAAAATCCTGAACTGCAGGATGTCTTTCTCAAGTACATGCCAACAAAATGGCACCTTGCAGGTAACAAAGACAGAAGTGCAATATTCTTTTCTGCTTGGTAGAAAAAATCTTGGCTTAATAGCAAGAGCTGAGAGGAGATATGAGACCTAAAGACTACAAACAAGCAGTAGCATATTACCTGGTTGAGTAATTCCTTTAACAACAGAAAGATATTCCTCAGGTTTCTGGTCAGTAGAAATCTCTTTGCTGCCTCCATCTAAGGTCAGTATCTCATAAAGAATCTCTGAATTCTCCACCCCACAAAGCAGAATTACCACATTTTCTGGAGGTTTTAGAACTTGTTCCAGAAAATAACTTCTCTTTTGATTCAGGCATTTCAGAAGTCCACATGAGAGTATCAGGAGTTTACATTTGTAAGACAGTAAACAGAGTAGCTCCTGGTTCTTCAAAGATGAATTCTCTAAATCGTAGAGTAAGATTCCTTCTTCATTCACTATGAGTCCAAAAAGAGATTTTAAATACAGAGCCCACTCTTCTGCTTCTTCTTCATATATCATGAGGATATCCTTTGTATTTTCTAGAGAGAAGAAAATATAAAAATTWAAAAAATTTCAAATGCATTTTGAATCCATTATAAATACCWAAAGATAGATTCCACTCCTAATAAGAACTTGAAGTGCTGAAGAAATTACCTTCATCAGAAATCACAGCTCATCACCTTGAAATGACAACCATCTCCTTATTTCTAAGACCAAGGCAGAAAGTTCATCCACAGAAATACTGGAAAAATAAATCAGGATCTTATGTTTAGAATAATTAATATTTCAGAATAAATACTAAATTTGCAACATAGGAAGCAGAGCATATTCACACATTCTGCTCATTCCTTGAGTCTTGACAAATAGGCGATAGTATTAAAAATGGAACACTTAGATTTTAATGACTGAAATAAAGAATATATATTTGAACATGATTTGACTTCGTTAGAAAATGAATTTCTCAGCATGATGTTAGGATGATCATTTGCGATCCTTCTTTACTGTCCTTATTCTAAGAAAATTACTTGAGACCTGACAAAAATAGATATAGAACTATATTTTTTTAGTTCTCTTTCCCTTTAATTAGTAAAACATGATGCTAGCAAGACAACTAATATTCTTCCACAGAGTTACTAGGGTGACAGTTCAAAACAGAGGCAACAGGCACAAGCTGAAACACAGAAGGCTGCCTCTGAGCATCAGGAAATGCTTTTTTTAGTGTGAGCATGGGCCCAGGCTATCTGGAGAGGRTATGGAATCTGCCTCCTTGGAGCTACTCAGAAGATGCCAGGATATGGTCCTGGCTCTGGATGCGCAGGAGAGCTTCCAGATGTCCCATCCAACCCTGGTCACTTCTTGGTTGTGTGAAACCATTAAAAATTGAGATTTGATGAGCAATACAGTAACAACAAACATCAAGACAGGGTAGCTTAATAGCCCTGGAGTAGTTCACAACCACAGCCCTGTGATGCAACAGTGTGAGACTCAGGAATAGATCCAACTGCTGCATTTTACCTTCACTGCACTTCACAGTGTCTGTCTGGTGGTCAGGGCCAGGCAGCCTGACTGACCTGCAGTGCACCAGAGCTTCTCTCAGTGCCTAAGATGCTGCACTGTGAGCACCAGGACAACAGGAAACAGGTGGTGTACACAGAGTTAAAATGTTTCTTGGGCAAACAAAGGATGTGGGCAGTGGGATGCACTATTGGAAGCACGGTACAGATCAGGCTAASGAGAACAAAAACTTGTCAAGGACTCCACATAAATCCATGTACGAAAGAAGAAACCTAACCTATATCTCCAGTCCAGGATTAATGCTTTATTTATTGGTCTTAATCTTCAGTCTCTCAAGTTCCTTATATGTGTACAGACTGCATGGAGGACAGCTGCCACCTTTTCAAGATTTGTTAATGCTCATCCTTTCAAAAAGTCTTCTGTCACAGGAAATCATAAAGGRCCATGCTCTACATGGTAGCAGGTGATGATATTTCATGATATCTAACTCTTACCAGTACATTAGAGCAGGGTAACATTTGTCAAAATGTATTTGGAAAGGTGACTGCTGAATCAACAATCTGAAAAACAGCTGTTTCTGATTAAATGGTGAAGGTTAATAGCAAGAATAGCAGTATATTTCTCATTTAACTCAGAGCAAAATTGTTTGGTTTATGATGCTGGGATAAAAAAAAATCTACTTGCTGCAATGTTGTTTTCAAAATCTCATTTGATTTTCCATAATGSTCATAGACAGACAGTAGAAACAAAAGTAGAAACAAAAAATTGCTGCAGTTTCAAAGAAGAAACTGTATTATTTAGTGCTCTAAACACACAAGCTCCTTCAGTCTGACCACACAGCTTCATATCACAGAAAATAGAAACACCAAGTACCTTCTATTTTAGTCCCCATTAACTAAAAGCATTGTAGCAGTTCTTTAAAAATATGGATCTAAAGACACACCATGAAGAAAATTTAAGAATTCATGATTTAAATTTTGTTTGAATTTACTTAATCTTACTTTCAGAGATCATATAATTTCATATATTTCTGCAATGCTTAAGGAACTTCTGTTCTTCTGTTCTCAGAAATCTGTCCTCTAAGGTCTTTAGATTACCCTGATTTGTACAGGTTTGTAGATTATATTTCTTAYCCTTGCCTTCATTAGACTGTAAACTGGGATTAATACTCTTCCCACTACAACAGAGGCTTTGTAAAACTCTTACTACTTTTTTCTGCACTTTTGTGAATTCTCCTGTCTTTTCAAAATACTTTTTGAGAAAACCAGAACTGCATGCAAAGTAGGGGTTCCTTGACATAGAATAGGACGAAAAAGAAAACCTTGGATATGCACATGGGCTTATAAACAAGGAATTTCACATGCATTGTTTAAGTTAAAAGGTCTCATTTTAAGCTCGTGCTCAGCTGTGTTGCCATTATGATGGACTTGGGTAAGGATATAACTAGGTGGAATTGCAGGGAGGGATAAAAAAGCATATTTCAATTGAATGCAAAGCACATTCTTGTATAGCTTGACAGAATCTCTATGTCCTGATTGTGCAGAAGAAGCACCTGTTGGTGTCTTACACAGTACCCACKTGGCCAAGAGCCCAAACTTCCTGCTGCACCTCATCCCTGTGCAGAATGGAGCAGGAAAGAAGTGCTGGACCCAACCATTCAGACACAGCTGAAGAGCTCCCCATGTGCTGGACATGGAAGAAAAAGGCCTTTCTTAAAGAGCTGACATTATACAATAACCATCATAAAAATATCCATAGGGTATAAACCACTGCTGTGCAAATGGACACTACGAGGCTTGAAACTCTAAAGATAAAAGTGAGAAACATGCAGTGACAGGATAAAAGAAGATATAAAGTAATTCCACTTCCATATGGTGTACCTGCACCACAGTATGTAGCTTTGATCTTAGCTAAGCAGGAATGAGAAAGGGGCTTTACGATGTTTATTGAAGGCTCAATTGCATTTCTTTTTTAACTATATTGATTTTTATATATGAGAAAGAAAGCTTTATTTGTATAGGAAAGGAGAGTGAAATATATCTAACACTGCAGCTGATGGAAGAAAAGCTCTGCAACACATCTCATAAAGCTCTAATTCAATATAGTCGCCCTATTTAATTTTTCTCTTCTGTCTATGTACAGAGGGAAGAACCACACTGTTGAGCAAGGGTTTTCATACTGCAGTTTGGTGCAATGTTTATTGAAGCAAGCAGCAAGTGCTATCAAATTACCTATGGGAAAACAAATGTGGGTATATTTTGAATTATAAGCTTGCATTTTTTTTTCTGACACTGATCTGCCTTCTATATTAAGAGTTAACTTCAATATCAARCAGGAACATAAGGCTTGAATCTCACTTCACCCAATTGTATTAAAAGGCGAAATATCACTATTTTGAAATGATTGCCTGACTTGAAATGTGGAGCCAAAGCTTACCCTACAAATAGGTATGATGCCCCCCATCAAAAATCTACTTATGTAATAGTAGTTTTTTGTGTTATACAATGTTTTGGCTTCAGTGATTTTATTGAAGATGCATATGCTTGAGGGCCGCTTATCTGAAAATTAAAGCCCACCAAAACTCTGCCTTCAGAACAGTATTATTCTAACCTGAAACAAAAAAAAAAAGCTCAGGTCTAGCTCTGATGCAACACTACCCAATACTGAATATACAGCAACAATGCTTAACTCTTCAACCAGAGTTTTTTCCACTTTATTATTTTTGTCTCTTACTGAATAATTCTTTGAAGCTACTGCTCTTGGAATATAATGTAAGTTAAGATTAATTTTGCTCCCTTGAAAGTTAATGTAATAGAATGTATCATATCCTGACAAAATTAAGCTGTGCTTCAACTGCTCCTACTTGGAAACTTACTCAAAGGTAGAAATAAAATGTATTATTAGTTCAGCAATAAGAAACAGTAAGAGAATTTATGCAGTCATCCATAATCTGAAAGGGCTTTTTCTGACACACAAAACTCTTCTCTAGTTGGTGGTGCGTGTCTGCCCAAGACAGCAAATCTCATGTCATCTAAAGGGCTCTTTGAAAAAACCTGCTAGATCTTATGAGACTACTGTGACTAAGCAGGAATGAAGAACTTGCGTACACAGGGAAAAGAACACGTCTTTTATGGCAAGAATTATAAGATATAGCAAGAGTAGAGCTCAAGTATATTAGAGTGTTAAAGGACATCTCAAGAACGCTGCAATGCACCAAACATGTCAGGAAGGCAAAGGAAACTAAGATTTATCTTAAACAGGTACCTCAGTTTATGATTCTTGCAATCTTGTAAAAAGATAATTTCTGTGTGCTTAGAAATAATCAAGAAGCACTTGGTAACAGTTATCTTTGAGAATAACACTGAACAGATGTCAACTTACTCCCTACCTTTGAAAGTTTGTAGAGGTTTATGTACAGGTTTGTAGATTATAGGCTTTACTTCTGGATATCTGTGAAATGCATTCTACACAGTTGTTTCAAAAAATTCAGTRCTAACATACTTCATTTGACTTAAATAAGGCTGATTACAATTAYGATAGGGTTTAAAACTTGGCTTAACAGTCCCACTACCTTAGGGTGGTTTGGTGAAAAAAAAAGTGAGATTGGAGCACCAATGTTCACCCAACTTTTAACAGAAAGACGGATCACCATATTTCTCAGGACTCTCTTCCAGAGTATTTAATAGGATACTGGACCCTAACATTCCCTGTTGTTCACTTAGCTGCCCATGAACTCCTGTAACCACACACTAGGCCTGACACTGTCAACCCTAACAATAAGGTAATGCAATTGTGTTTACAATCCTCACCTCAATCCCATCAGCCTTTGCTATCTGTGTGCAGAAAACACCCTCTCAAATTGTTCTCCACCACTGTGTTGTGGAAGGACAGAAWCAACTCACAGAGAAAGCATAAAATTTGTCCCTTTTATTTCTTCCTGTCACAGATGTCTTCACTTGGGGAAGGGAATGTTGTTTGATTTTTAAAAAAATATCAGTCTTGAAAGACATTTGAGAAAGAAATGTATGAACTCTGTCAGTAGGCAATGAACTACTGTCCATCAGCRAAAATTTGTTAAAATAAGTACAGTAGCTAAACATCTCAAAGGAGAAGTGGAAAAGGCACACAAGTTCTTGCCCACTTTCTCATTATATATTGATGAAAAAWCTTGGCAACATAAGTGATATGGAATGACATCCATTGAATCTTTAATTCTTTTGTGCATAG